ATAGCAGCTGCTCAAAACCCGCCAAAACCTATTACTAACATAGCTTACCTTTAAGCATGTCTTCAGTCTGTTTAATGAGCCATTGAACCACCTTATTGCTGTCAGCTTTCCCAGTCTTGTCTTTTGAGGACTTGTGTATGTGGTAACTATGATACACAATGAATCCAAGGTCAATAGGAACGGTCACTGCTAACGAAGCCCCAGCCAGGACCACACCCAGTGTACGAGCTCCAGTACGTAAAGCAATAGCTCCTGCCTCAGCAGCTGACTCTATTCCAATAGCGATACCCATACCAACCCGCCCCAGACTAGCAAGACTTTGGGCTCCACCAGCTGCTACATTTCCCACCAATTCGCCTCCATCAAGAGCTGATTCAGCACATTTCTTCATGGCTTCATTATATTTAGCGGCAACGTCATTGATACTGATACTCAGCTGCTGATCAAGGCTGATGTGCTCTTGGGCTGACTTGAGTCTCTTATTTGATAGAATTTTTGAAGCAATAAAAGCTCCAATCCCTCCTAGTGAGGCAGTAGCTCCAACCACACCCCCAGCTACCGATAGACCTATCGACGCACCAAAAGTGAATGGGAGGAGAGCGAGACCAGCGACCACCATACCACCCCCGAGGACTATACTAGCGGAAGAGGCTGCTATCCTAGCTATCCTCTCATGGCGGACAATGGAGAGTACTGCTTCTTTGTTATCTGAGAGGACGCTGATGGTCTTACAGCGTATGGGGTACCACATTGAGCGGTATAACTCCAGCTGCTTCTTGTAGTACTCTTTCTCCGCTCTAGAAATTAAATAAGAAATTAAAAGATACATTATTAATTTTAAAAAGCAAATTATATGTAGCTACATGTACGGTGTAGATATATTTTAAATAAGAGAAGAGAGTGTCCATGCAGCTAACCTTGAGTGGAAAGGTACATAGCGTGCGGGTAGGACAAACTTGTCAGTAAAATTATCGATGTACACACAGAAAACCTTGTCATGTTTCCTGTTGCATTCTTCGTGGATCTCAGAGCAGCATTGCTGTATGCTGGCCTCGTGAGTTAGTTTACTGCTAACTGTCTTGAGGACTACACTACTGCTACTCTGATCAACTGACGTTATGAGTATGATAGAGTTTTTAGGAGGAACTGATGAAAACTGAAGTTTCTCGCTTGGCTCTTTGACGTGAGCTAAATGAAAGTAGAATATCTTTGGTACTAAAGCAAGGTGAGACTGATCGTCATGGAAGTACTCAAAAATATTGTCGGTGTATATTATTTCATTGTTGCAATCGTAAAGGTGCCTAGTCTTCCCTTTAGAAAGGAGAACGAGAGCAAATGTAGCCAGTTGAAAGGCATTAATGTGAAGAAGCATCTCAAGTAAAGTACTGATGGATTGGGAACTGAGTGCGTTGAAGTAGAGGGTACAGAACCCAAGGTTTTCAAGGGTTTTTATGAACTCTTTAGCATCATCGTTAATCGTTTTAGTCCCATCTTCTTCAACTTTTACTTCACCATGATTATCAACAATGAAGGCCAAATGAACCTCTATAAAATAAAATAAATAAATAAATACATAAAATAAATAAATAAATAATACTTACTGTCGTTCAAGTTCAGCCTGCTAAAGTTGTGTTTTTTGATTTGCGAGTGAACAGATTTCGCCAAATTATGAAGCCAATTGTCCCTATCAGGTAACTTCAGTGGGTTGGGATTATAAAAATTTGGCTTATAATGGCCAGCTGGTACAAAATGAGCATATTCATCCGTTTCACAATTCCGCTTTAAGAAAGCGTTGATGTCAGCAGATCTCAGCCTCACTCTGTGAATAAAC